TATAAATTCTATCAAAAATTCAACTATTCCTAAGTTTGATCAAATATATGGAAAAAACTATTAACAACTATAATATTGAATAAGTACATTAGGAAAATATATCTAAGGGTGGATATAATGATATTGATTTGGTATTGTTTATCTTCATATTTTTGTATATCTGCTTGGTCAAACTTAGAAATCATTGACTTTTTTAGTCAGTTTATACGCCATCATTGACATTCTGTTCTCAAAATCAATAATTTGTTTCATATAATTCAACAAGAGGCATCTTTTGTATTCAAATATTGGTCAGTTCATGAGTTGTTTCATTATGCAATTGGCTCTAAGCACAGGATGATAACATTCTAAAATAGTTCTTGCATCATTTTATAAAAACAATTACCCAAATATTTAAAACAATATTTTTGATTAACATTTCAATGTTTGAACTAAGACATGTCCAAAACGTCTAAACTGCAGGGGTAATTAACTAAATAACCGAAACACAATCATTCTAGACTCACACAGACAATTAACTATATTTGTATGTATTCATGTCTCCCTTTTGGCTGGTGAATTACTCAATTGTGTGGCTATGTATTTCTAGCTGTTGATTTCTTTATCTGGGTAGTTGCACATTTTTGCCTTAGCTAATAGCTGTGAAATTGTGCATCTGTCACCTGCACGCGATCGACCACACCAAATTAAATTTAAACAAAAAACTTGTCTTTTTTTGTCGGTAACACACACAAAAAGGACAGTTTGCACCTGAAGGATTATGCTGTGTAATTAACTTGAGCCACTTAGAAATAACAATTCTTAAGTAAAGGAAAAAAATAACGAATACGTGTTAATAAATATACAATGACGATGGGATATTTTTGGTGCCTGCATGCAGGGGTTACTACAGATGCAGCAGCTCCAAGGGGTGCCTAGCCCGGAAGCAGGTGGAGCGCAGCCGCAGCGACCCCAACATGCTGGTTATCACCTACACGGCGGAGCACAACCACCCATGGCCTATGCAGCGCAACGTCCTTGCTGGATACGCTCGTGCTCACACGCACGCCGCTGCCAAGAAGCAGCAGAAGATCAGCAGCAGTAGCTCCGCTGATAATGCCGCGAGCTCGTCCTCCAGCAACAGTTTCCACGTCGAGCAGATCAATCCGATCTGCGGCGACCAGCTGCCCGTCAGTTGCAAGATGCCGGATAGCACGGCCACCGCCGGAGATGGTGGTGGCCTGTTGTTTGAAGGCATCCAGCCTGACGAGGTCTTTGCAGAGCTGGAGGAATTGGAGACTGATAATAATCCGATGATGACAAGTGCAAACGTCTACGGATCCAGGGGGGTAAGTAGTAACTACGAGTGGCACAAATTCTAATCACGATGCTTCTAGCTAATCAATCGATCAGGGCGGCTGTGATACATATATGCATGCTCGACTAAGAAGATCATACATATCTTAAAATGCACGGGTTTTTTTCCTTTATTTGTACAACAGGATAACTAATATATTTGTTTCCGCCAATATATGATGATAAAACTAAGAGTGTACATATACGTATATTTTATGAGGTAATTAATCATGAGAAATATCTACATGTGTCATGCCTACTCCTATCGCTAACAAAGTTTCCATATTATTAATCAATAGTATTACAAATGTATAGCAACCACTTCCTCCGTTCCTAAATATATATTCTTTAGAGATTTCAATATAGATTACATACGGAGCAAAATGGGTGAATCTACACACTAAAATGTGTTTGTATACATCTGTATGTAATCTGTATCGAATTCTCTAAAATGTCTAACATTTAGAAACGGAATGAGTACTATTTAAGTAGATCTAGTAATACACATTTGATGTTGTGGATGCTACTCCCTCTGTCCCAACTAACACCAAGTCAGTTATTTTGGGACCTAGGGAGTAGTAATTATTTCTTCATGGCGGATCTAGCTTACAACAAGATGAAAAAAGGCTTAGGTTCTAGAACTGTGTGCATATATTCATGATCCGAAGTGAAATGGTTGAGTGGCCTAAATTTTGGGAGGATGTATGTTGGCCTGACTGCCCTTTTAATTCCATTCAGTTCTTCTAGTTATTTTACTCTAATAATATATTCTATCTTATCATATTATTTTAAATCAGTAGAAAATACTGATATTCAAATTTTTCAAGTTTTACTGAATGCATAAAATTGTTCATGTAGTTAAAATCCTTGTACCATTATGTATGGTTTGATTTCTATAATTGTAAAGTGTGCATGTATTTTAATAATAATAATAATAACACTCAACTTTAGAGTGTGCACTAATATGGTCATAATCTCATTTTCCTATTTGTACATCTTAGCACGGTGTTGTAAAAAAATTCCTTAGGAATATAATTAATTAATTAACTCTATCAAGTGATGATCTCACTTATTATATGCATGTATGAGTCAAATAGTGTCTTATTCCTTCGAAAACATCATATGGTGAAGTATGTAAGCTAGCCACCATTGGAGCAAGATGCCGTCGTTGCTAGCAAAATATAATTTTGCACTCAAACGAAACTAAAAGAAGGTAAACGACATTGGTTAACCACTTAAACTCAGTCTAGTATCAAATGCTGGCAAATTTACCTATATTATTATTAAATATAATTTCCTTGTATATTTATTGGTCAACTATTAAACCGCAATGATACTTGTCGAGCTTCATGTACAAAATCTCACTCATAAATTAATAATCTAAGGGTCAGTTTTGAAGAGAGAAATAGTAATGACATCATTGTCTCGAGTGTCAGTGGGGGCATATAGGGTGCACTAGCACCTCAAGGCGTGCCATTGTACTAAGCCTTTTGTTTCAAATTTACTATGGATTGAAAATTTTCAAGGAAATACAAACACACACACATACATTATGTATACTAGAGAAGATACACGTGCGTTGCAGCAGCAATTGGATGCAGTAATTTCTATGAGATTTGGTGGTATGAAACTTTAGTATTCTTATTACAATATGAGAATTAAAACTCAAGCACATGTAGTTTAATATATTTGATTACCGTATAGTTGTAGAAAATTTATTTATTATAAGTAACATGCATGATGCATGCTAAGTCACATGCATAGTGGCGTAGTGAGTTTGCATAGTTGCATGTTCAGAGAATTAAATTTAGTGGGGCATGCATGATGGCATGATGATTTTGCATAGTTGCATGTCAAGATAATTGAGTTAGTAGGGATTGACTATTTAGGTATATATATATATGATACCATGCTAGAAAAAAATGCAAATTCAATTCGTAATTAAGAACTACAAAAATAATTTTTTATGTGAATAGTACCATTAGATACTATTCAGCTCAGTTTTAAATATGATACTATACACTGCATGTCTTGTCTGGTTGTGTATGAATTTGTGAATCGAAATAAGACTTGGAATCTTGTAGGATGGTACATGTACATATGCATCATTTATATGTTCCGATTTATTTAAATCAGAAGTTTTACATATGAATCTTAACCTAGTGAACCGCCGATACATCTCAAATGTTCTGGTGCTCGGAGTGTTGGCCAACTTTCAAGATGCATGATATGTGCTTTGATTTCTCAAGCATTTTGTAGAGGCAATGAAAAGTTGGAGATAAATAATCCTTGAGCTGAAAACTGGTCTTGCATTATTCCGCGATCTCGATGGAGCCATTCCTTGTTTTATTTATTTATTTTGGGTCTATGCATGGAAATTCAACAACACCCATACACTATGTATGTAATATGTTGCCAATACATAACTCGAGAAACAAAGAAAACAAAATTCTGTTTTGAATAGTATCATTATGAAAATATTCAATACAGTTTTGAATGTGATACTGTTTATGGTCTGTTTTGTCTTGTTGTGTATCAATTCCTGAATCTAATTAGGACTCGGGATCTTGTAGGATGATACATATGCATCATTTAATTATATATCCCAATTTTAAAATTCAGAACTTCTAGATATTGATTTTTACCTAGTGAACCGCGAGTACATCTCAAATGGTTTAGTGCGCTGAGTGTAGACCGGCTTTAGAGATGCATTTTCCATGCTTTGAATTCCTATGCATTTTCGCGACAATAAAAAATTAGGGATGAATAATCCTTAAGCTACAAACTTGGCTTGTAGTGTACAACAATTTAGGGAGCCATTGCTTGCTCTTTTCTTTTTGGGGTTGTTGCGTGCAAATGCATCCTGCATGAGAAGACGACAGAGTCGAATCCATCATAGATATGTGTACAGTTATCAAATGCTGACATTTCTGAGCAAGCATCTCACGAAACAATGACATTTTTGAGCAATTACAACTTTTAATGGCAAAACTGAGTAGTGGGACACAACTAGTGGCATAAATGATAAAAATCCTATTATTAAATATCATGTGCCTTGTATATTTATTTTCAACTGTTTAAACATAATGATATTTGTTGTCCTTCTCGCTCAAAATCTCATCCATAAATTAATAGTATATATAAGCTTTTCAGTTCTCAAGAGAGAAATAGCAATGACATCTTTTTGTCGAGCGTCGGCGAGGACATATAGCACCTCGAGGTGTACTAGTGTACTAAGCCCTATGTTTCAAATTTGATATGGATTGCAAAATCTCAAGAAAATTCGACAACACTCATACAATATGTACATACCACGTTACAAAATTTAAGGTCCAAATTCAATTACATAACTCAAGAAGCAAAAGACAAATCTGATGTGGATAGTACCATTATGATACTATTCAATTCAGTTTTGAGTTACTGTTCAGTTTAATATTGAATGTGGCACTATTCACGATCTGGTTTGTCTTGCTGCCTATCAATTTGTGAATCTAATTAAGACTGGGAATTTTGTAGGATGGTACATATGCGCATCATCTATATGTCCCATTTAAAATCAGAACTTACTGGGAATCTTGTAGGATGGTTCATATCATCTATATGTCCCACTTAAAAAAAGAACTTCTAAATCCTGTTTTCTTTTACCTAGTGAACCCCAGTACATCTCAAATAGTCTAGTGCGCCGAGTGTCGGCTATGCTCGGCTTTCTAGATGCATGTTATGTGCTTTGAGTTCAAAAAAAATTAGAGATTTAAATATATATTTTTACCTAGTGAACCGCCCATACATCTCAAATGCTTTTGAGTGTCGGCCGGCTTTTGAGATGTGCTTTGACTTCCTATGCACCCTTTAGAGCCAATGAAAAGTTAAGACATAAATAACCCGTGAGTTGAAAACTTGGCTTGTAACTACCCAGCTATGTCGAGGAGCCAGTCTTGCTCTTTTCTTTTGGGTTGCTGCGTGCGAATGCATCCCGCATGATGAGGATTGAGGAGACGACAGAGACAATCCTCATAGACATATGTACATGCATGTACAGTGACGCTGTTGTGCCTAGCGGCCGGCATGCAGATCTGTGGTAGACCCCAGGTTGCAAGATCTATCTAAAGTGGACAGAAACGAGTAAAGTGCGCGTCAACGGTTGGCGATGTGACAATACAAGTCCTTTTTTACAGTTTACATTGTTCATTTTCCTAGCGTGCGCTCTAACTTTAACTCCCTCTTTGATTCAATTTGAAATAAATTTTGTAGCTAGTTTTCATTATATACGAAATTTTGCTACAGAGGTGCTGTTTGATGAACCATATGATAAGATACATGAACATGGTGAAGATCATATCTATAAATTACAAAAAAATTATGGAAAAAAAAACCAAGCGTGTACAATATATACACACATAGTAAAGCAAATGCCAAAAATGATTTGCGTGTTCTACCAAAGCTGTCATGCAGGTGTACTCTACATGCATGGATTCTTTGAACATTTTTTTCAAAACTAAAAATATGTTTTTCTAAGTTACTAATATTATGATTATATGTACTAGTACTCCCTCTGTCCCCGTGAAAACACTCTTATATTATGGGACGGAGGGAGTACATGATAGTATGAATTATTCATTATTCTGTGATGTTTCATGTTTGATTGCATGATAATAACCCTTTGCACTCAACTCCAAAGTAGTATTGGCATGAGTCTAATCTGCATTTAACTACAACATTGCACGTAATGAACTCTAAGGGCATCTCCAGCCGCGTCCCCAGCAGGCCCCCCCAGGCCACTTTTTCGGCGCCGGCGCCGAAAAAACGGCCCAGTCGCGCCCTCAGGACGCCGAAAATCGCCGGTTCGGACATTTTTTCCGCCCGGCGGTCACAGGCCGAACCCGGCGCACTGGGGAGCCGTTGGGGGCTCCGGCGCTAGGGAAAAGCACGCCTGGCCCACACCGACAGGGGAAAAGTCAAGGTTTTCTTCCCCCGACTCGCCTCGCACCCCCGCGCCCTCGGCCACCACTAGCTATATCCCGGCGAC